CAAGGTCCTCTAACTGTCTAAGTAACTCTCATCATTCCCGACGTGTGGAAATCGCTCCACCGGACGCCAGCGAAGAGTCGGAATGCTTTCCGCAAAGGGCACAGAAGCACCACCGCACTTAATGCCATAAATAATCAGGTAACTGGAAGCCTTAACCACAATCGCCCCTGTGCGAGAACAGTGCTAGTAAAATTGGATTTGTCCAACGAGTTTGACACCGTATATCATTCCACGCTACTAGAAGACATAGAGCTCTCCTTTCTCCCACAGAGCCTCAAACGGTGGTCAGCGAATTATCTGAGTGGTCGAAAATTGTCAGTCATCTTCACAGATAAAACGTCAAAACCAACAATAGCCTCCATTATCCCACACACACTGTCGAGTTTGCGATTGTTCCATCGTCTGCAGTGCTCGCCGTAGTCAATGCGTAAAGGCCCGTACTAGGAATTTTTATCCCGGGATCCCGGATTTTTTAAGGTCCCGAAAATCGCGGTATTATTTGCCAAGATTTGTAATTTGCACTGATGGTAATAATAGAAACTCCCCTTCTTGACCAGTATTGGTTATATTTCTTTGTTTATTTCATACTTAATTTTTTTTTTTAATAAATATCTAGCTCATTGTACATATAACACCACGGGATAATAAATTTAAAACACAAATATCAATATATTCGCGAAACCATAGAAAATTGCTTTTTGAAGTTTTGAGACTAATATGCTTAGAGAAGACGTAGGGGTATCAAATTAAAGAAGAGATCCTATAGAATTTAAACAGATTCAAGCTTTTGGTGCAGAAGGACTGGTAAGTAAATAAAATTTCCTTTTAAAATTTCTTGCTTGAAATTTTGCAATATTTGTTTTTGAAAAAATTATACGTTAAACAAACCCCACTTTAAATAAAACTGTGTTTCAAACCCATTTATTTATTATTTATTTTACGGTAGGAGAGCTTCTCAAACAATATAGAAGCAATTTTTTCGATTTAAGTTGTTGAAAAGTATTGACTATCTAAATCCCGGGACTATTCCCGAGATCCTGGGATTATGATAAGGGCGTCCCGAAAAACCCCGGGATCGGAAAAAGCTGACAAATTAAAATCCCTAGCCCGTGCGTATTCCGCAATATCTTTCTCTCGAACACTTCAAGAGCCGCCTCATCGGATGTTTTTCATTTTCCGTGCTTCTGCACCATATACCTGCATGGAATGATGAGTGATTTATAGTGTTTGGTTTTCGTACACCGAGAAATGACTTTACGTCTCAATTGCCCACTCAGTCCAAAGGTGCACTTGTTGGCAAGTCAGTGCTTATACTACATAGCCAGAAAATCATTTGCAAAGTGACGTCAAAAACCACGATCGGAGGACATTCACAGAAGGAGAACTTCCGAGACATACCCGCGTTACTCTGGCTCAACTGCGGTCTGGATACTGTAGTAGGTTAAACTGCTATTTATCCACACTATAACTCGATATACCCAATGTAAAGATTCCACACATGACATCAACGTCCCCTCTTCAAATGCCCACTCAACCAAATTCAACAAACACCCCTCTCCTCCTTGACCCCGACGATACCATTAACTGAGCTTGACGACAACGATTAAGGGACTGGCCTAAGCGATTATGGCCGAGTCAAAAACAGCACTCCAGTAGTTTCTCTTCTGTGCCGACTGACGCCAATTGGAAACGCCAAGTGAAGCCAAGTCCTTCTCCAGCTGGTCTTACCAACGCAACGGAGGTCTTTCTCTTTTCAGAGTTGGAGCGTTTCTGTCACTGTCCTCGCAAAGGCCCGCAAATCTTTCGCAGAATCTTTCTCTCGAAAACTCCAAGAGCTGCTTCAAGAGCATCGCCATACACCAGCTCCGGCGTGATGAGTGACTTATAGGGTGTGATTCTTGTACGACGTATGTACCTGGACCAACCCAGTATCAAAAACATCAAAAAAAGAAGCAGTAAATAAACTAAGCATCATTGTTCATTTTATTTCCTTAAAAACGTCGATATTATGATCATGGATAATTTAGTATGTATTTAAGTACAATAAATAATTCAAAATTTACAAAAATGCATTTACAAATTTGTGAACGCTAGATTTTTTTCTCGCTTTTAAAATAACCTTACAATAAATGATTATATGCATGTATGAACATGCATTTCGCACATTTGCTGTAAGAGTGTCATAACTAGGGTATTCGCCTTTTTCCAAAACCGGGTTTCGAGTTATTCGAACAATTTTAATTAGAAAAACCGGTTCCCTATTTTGAAATTAAGAAGAAACCGGATAACCCGGTTTTATTTTACATAGGTTTCATACAGTAAAAATGCTTGTATTGGTATGAAGTCATGACCAAAAATTACAATAAAGCAACTAACAGTAAAGATGCCTTTTATTTAGAAAAGAGCCAAGCAAAATAAGTTCACAGTTTTTCTTTAGATCAAAAGTAAAGCAAATAAAAATCACTGAAAATTAACGACGTTTGGTCTTATTTTAACGTTTTTTTAATACTTTAACATTTTTTCTACCTTTTTCGGATTTGAGTAGATATAGATATATAGATATTCAAAATAAACCGGTGTAAACCGGTTTGGAAAAACCGAGTCAATCACCCTAGTCGTAACCCAAAAAAAATTTAACTGAGTTAATTATGCAGGAATTACCGCTTTTTCTTCTATGTTGCGCAACAATTTTATAGCTATAGAAGCGTTTATGAAAGAGTGCGGTTAAACTGATAAATTTAAGTAATTTATCCGTTTATCACTTTATACGAAGACCCTATATTTTTGTTGAAAACCTTAGCAAACCATTTTAGAAAGCGTACCAAATTTCTTAAGAACTCTGTACTGCTTAAAGGCTAATTAATATGCAGCTCTCAAGAAAACGGTCAAGAAAAACATTGCCATTATTTCGTGTGTAAGTCCAAGGAATTCTGGACATCTGATACTTCACCAGCCTGTTGCCTCACTCTTTCCTCAAGAAATAATAGAAGAGGGTATATATTTCTCTTGCAAGCATGGGTTGCCTTGTGCTCTTTTTTCATAACATTACCAAAGTGTAGTAGAAAGCGGAGCAAATTTCTTAAGAATTGCGTACTGCCTCAAGAAAATTTGACAGAAGAAAATTTCTCAGCCATTTCTTGTACGTCATTTTATATGGAGTTTTTGCCTTTCTTGAGAGCGTATACTGGCCTTAAGAAAATTTGACTCCATAAATTTTTCTTGACCACTTCTTAGGCGTTTTTCATTCGTCAAAATGGTTGCAAATAATAACACAAAAGAAAAAGATTTGGTTTTTATTAACCCGTAATTTCAATTGCATTTCTGCTTGGGTACAAAAATTTTAAACCAATGGTTTGTATCTGCGGAAAGGCGTCGGTGTTATTGAAAAGATTAAAAATAACTTATCGCAAATGAAGAATAACGAATATAAAAAAAATATAAAATTAAAACGACCAGCGCAGTTCCCTATTATTTGCGAATATCAAGCAACACTTGATTGTCCATTTTGATTTTTCAATCCTTGAAATAAATTAAATAAAAAACATTAAACTGTACACTAACTTTTGTTGTTTTGCGAGCATATTTACCAATATTTTAGTGCTTATCTAAGCGCTTAAAATGGATTTTTTCTTGCTGGTTTTTTCTTCGGCCCCTATTATGACACTCTTTGCAGCAAATATACGTCTTGCATTTTTATTCTTACACATTTCTTCGTCGATAATTTAAGTATGTAAATATATGAGCAAATTCCACGAGTTGTTACATTTTTCGATAAAAACGTGCTTTTGGTCGAAAATGGTGGTTCGTTCACCTATCTTAGAAACGGCATTATCTTCAATTTTATATAAAGAACAAGATTCCATTGCGAAATTGTGTTTAAATGAAAGAGATATACTAAAAAAAAAAAGTAATAATGCTCATCAGGGAAGCCAACTCGTGGGGAATTCCCCGACTTGCGGTGAATTTCAGTTTGCGTGGGGAATCGGGGAAAGCACTGTTTTTTGTGGCGAATTTCAGTTTACGTGGGGAAGCGGAGGATGAACTGTTTTTTGTGAGGAATTAGATGTTAACTAATTTTTTCATAATTTCATTTTTGCATAAGAAATGCAAATGCAACTAAAAGTACTAATTATGCGACCCTGGAAATTTTGCAAATTACCGTTGATTTTTTAGAAATGTCTTTGTCACATTTCATTTAATTAAAGAAGAAACACAATTTATTTTTATGTAGAAGAAAACCGCCTTCGGGAAAAATATTCTAAACGAAAATTTTTGGCCACTTGAAACTTGCACTTTAGAAAATCAAATTAAAAAGCTCGAAATTTTTACGAAAGTTTTTTGATTTATTTTATTTTTTAACATGTTTATAAATGATATTTTCAATGCATGCTCACATGCCCGTTTACATGCTTACGCTGACGATGTTCAGCTTTATCTCTCTGAAAACTGGTCAAAATTTGGGTCGACGAAATTTTTCTCGACCACGATATGTATGTAAATATTATACATATATAATATATTTTTTTTTTTTGTAAATAAGGAGATATCTATGGGTGGGAAATTGAAGAAATTTCGGGCAAATTGGGGAATTTCATTGTCGAAGTCGGGCGAATTCTCCAAAATGAGTTGGCTACCCCCTGATGCTCATACATATACCCGTAATTGCGTATGTAACGTATACGCCCCGTAGCACCATACGAAGTCATGTAACAAGTTTACTCGCACGGCTCAAAAATTAGGGGCCATATTATGTAAATGTGATTAAATATTGGCGTTTAAGATTTTTAAACAGTATTCTTTATGCACATTTCTTTCTTCGTGTATATGTACATATAACAATTTTAGATTGAATTTCCAGTGCAGCAATAAAAACTGTAAAAATGGAATTTTGATTTCTCAAATCATAGTCATCTTGTACTCAATGTAATTTCTTTTAATTTGGTGATACACTAGCCTTATTACACTAGATTCGTTCATTTTGGTAAGAAGAACATTTTCATAGTTTAACTTCCATTGCAAGAAGAATGCTTTAGTTTTGTTAGGGAGTGACACTAAAACAAAAAAAAAAACAAACAACTCGTGGGATTTGCTGATAGGTATGCATGTATGTACACATATAAAAACTTTTCAACATGTAATTTGTCTATATGTGAATATGAATCTGCAATATATTTTATTTCCGCTTGCTACCGGTTTTTTTAAGTGGATCCGATTTCAATTTCTCCAAGAAAACTGGCTGCATGTCCGCAAACCAGGAGATCTCCTCACCGCGAGCCTTCACCGGACCATCCTTGCAAGTCAGCCAATACGTGCTCATCAGACCCTTCCCCTTTAAAAGAAATAACAATAATAATACATGTCATATGTGCCGTTAGGCATATGCAAACAAATAAGAGCATTTTCGTATTGAAAATTATACAGAACTGTTGCCACCCATGATAAAAATATAGTAAGGTAGAACCGCTGAGAGTCACTTTTAAAATTCTTGACGTTTCCAAACAATGTACTTTTTAAATTTACTCACAAACTCACATACACATTTTCATTTTCAATCTCAAGCAACAACAATTTCGAACAATTTCAGTTTTTTATTTTCACTTTTATATGATTTTAAAATGTTGGCAAACTTCAAAAAAAAATCATGGCCGACAAATTGAGAGAACGGTTCTACCTTGCTATGTTTTTATCATGGTTGCCACCTATAATGTTTATGCTTTCTTGTATGTACCTGAAAAACTTGCAAAGTAGGGGAATTGAGAGAGCAAAATTAAAATTTCAGTTTGAGGGGAAGCTGCAAATTTCTGCTTTCTGGAAAAATTTTAATTGCGTAACGTTCAAAAATTAAGGCCTCATAAAACATGTATCTTAACTCCCTTTTCTTTTTTTCTTTAATTAGTCAAGGTTTTCATATTTAGTTGTACATGGGTCTCCAGCGCTTACGCAACGAAAAACTACAAATCAAGGCAATTTTCTTCTGAAAATTTCTGCTGTTCCACTCGGCTGATGTCAATATGAGCGCCGCCAGCGCTACCGTTGTAACTTCGTACCATTGCAAACCTTTGCAATAAATTCCTGGTGGGATATAAAGACGACCCAAGAGACTCGGGACCGTCGTAAGGGGCCTTACATTTCAATTCACCACCACACCACGCCCAAATCATTACTTATGGGAAAGAGAAAATATCGGAGCCTGGTACATAAGTAAATAAGTGGGGCTCAACTTCAGCTCTCCTGCCCGTACACTATTTAGTCCAATTTTAATTTTTTAAATTTTTAAAAGTAATATCTTAAAGTCAAAGAAGTTTTATATATATAATTTGTGAAACGATGCAAGTACACCTTGTGCACATCCACACAAACGCCGCTTGCATACATACATACATTTGCAGACAAATACATACATACATACATACATAAAACGGGCGAGCAGAAATATTACATTAACGGCAAATGAATTAAAAATCTAAAATTATTTACCTTTACTTCGATAAGACCACGGTGCTCGGTACGAAAGCCACCAATCCTATGCAGAGCATCATTCATTTCGTCCGTGATGTGAATTTTGTGCGACTCGCCAGTAGATTCCATTCGCGAAGCTGTGTTTACAGTATCTCCAAAAAGGCAGTAACGCGGCATTTTTGTACCGACAATGCCAGCCACCACCGGGCCGGTGTGGATGCCGCAGCGGATTTGCAAAGTGCCTGTTGACCGTGGAATTTTGAAAAAAGATGATGCGTCTAGTAAATCAAGGGCCATTGTGGCAATTTCCGAAACATGATTTTCGCCTGCTCACCCCCCGACGAGCCCCAATGTGGCGGCAGTTGGCATGTAGTTGCATGTAGTTTCCCATATTCGCAGTGAAGGATTGTCGTCGTGTGTCGCCGCAAGCATAGATTATATGTATGTATGTAGGTGGTGGTTATCAGCGTCACACAAACGAACGAAGGAAAAAAGGGTAAGGGAAAAGAAAAGGGCGTGTTGCCGAGTGAATAATAATTACACACATACAAATAAGCACATAAAAGAGGGTTGCAATTTTCCATAGAATAATAATTTTTTTTTTTATTTGCACACTAAGTAGATAGATGCTTATAAATTGACATATTGGCGGGCAATGCATGTTGTGTAAATAAATATTTGTATGTAATACAAGTGTGCAAACATAAATATGGACATATGTACGTATTTGATATGTAAATACAACGATTTGATAATGATCGTATTAAAATCAAATATGACAAATTACGAAATTTGTTCCGAAGTAAAGACATTGGGCCCAGCGAAACATTTTCCTACTCGGCAACATCTAAAATTATTCAGTAAATTTTTTTTTTTTTAAATTACATATGGGCGATTCCACCGTCAAGTGTTGGACACTTGTACAGAAACACTTTTTTCTTGTTTAAATTTAAGTATCAAGTACTCAAGAATTCCAGAATTTGATAAAGCTACACCTAATTGACTATTATATGAGATATTACAAAATACGAAAAAAAATTCCAGCTTACTTTTAGATGGAAAAAATCTGATTTATTTCTTCTGTAACGGGTGGGACAAAAAAAAAACACCTGCTTTTTGTAGCAGATATATTTTGCGGAAAATCTGCGAATTTATTTCACTTTTCTATGTGAACTTGATGTCTTATAATAAAACAAAGAACCAGGAACACAAGCAAAGCAAAAACTATAGAAAGATGATGGCTTTATTATACAAAAAATGCGAAACTCCTTTGTCACGGGTGGGACAACGTTTATCACAAATACGAATTTTTATATGAAAGGGAGCTTTTAGTATGGTCCATATATAAAGATTAGTTATTAAAAAAATATAAGAAGCCAAGTAGGGGTTAAATTCACTCACGTTTTATCTTAAGGTTGGTTCCTTTTATATAGAAGAAAATGCTTAGCCCGTCAGCCAAAAAAATTTTTAAAAATGAATGCGATTTTCTAGCGTCTTGAAATTTTCACTTTTACCAACTTGAATTTAATGGAATATAAAACTGCATATCTAAAAATTCTGAACAAAAAATTCAAAAGTTTTTGGTGTAATATTGTTAAAGTTTGTTGAATTTTTATAATTTTTGTAAGAGGTTTGAAATGTAGATTTATGTGGTTCTGGTTAGGTAATGTGCTAGACTTTTATAAAAAAAACTAAACTATAAACATTAGATTAATAATAATAATAATAGATTGGCGCTTACACATATGTTAGTGTTTGGCCTAGCTTCT